GGTTTGAGTCTAACCGACTGGCGTTCGGCGTAATACGGTTAGGAATATCCGTGTCGGGATTGCCTGTTAATTAAAATATTTGGAAAATGTGGAACTCTTAGGGCTTGTGTATGGACTGGGGTTATTTGGGAGAGATCTCACTTTTATACTGAAGTTTAATGCACGATATGAATGGCAATATTACCATTCCTTGTGCGTCAAATCGCAATATTTTCTTAGGAGAGACCAGTATGTGTCTCAAAGATTGCTCAAAATCCCATAAAAAATTAGTTAGTTACTTATTTATTTTATTTATAGACATTCAGCATCTTAGGCTATTAACGTCTTTATACATATATCTCTATCTCTATATATTGTAATAAGGGTAACGCGTGCTTAACATCTGAAACGCGAAGCGCTGGGGGGCGTACCGCACCCCGTAGACACATGAATCATTTAAGATAATTTTGCAACCTTATTCAGAAAAACAGCGGAGCATTTTTCTTAAAATTCTCTTGGCAAAATCAATACCTCTGTAGCCTTACAGTGACAAGTCACAGAGGAATTTTCGGTTTGCCTTTTCTTCATCTTTTTGCTTACAACTTGTGTGTGCCAAGTTAAATTTAGGAAATTTAGAAAACTAGGGAGCTTGTGTACTTGTGTAGTGGCAACTATTCGAACGCAGCTGTTGGGGTGTTGCATATCTACAGTTTTGAAGGCGATTTTCCGCACTCACGTTCCATAGGATTTAAAACTCTCGTATTTCTACGAGGCTTTTCGTCACGCCCTCTTGGATGGTATATATTGCTGATTCATAGTTCTAAAAAACATGAAATCCCTCGTCTGGCGTTTCAAGTTTCAATCTCTGAGTTAGTAGTGGCGCCATGCCCATTTTGTACTGTTCATGAAATCGAAGGAAGAATACGCGAACAGGGTGACAAGTTTTTGCAAAGTCAGAGCAACCTGGATAAGTACAGAAATGTTGCCCAGTACTGAATAGTCAGGGTGTATTTCTGCGGAGCCTAAATTCCTTAATATTCTTTCCTCCCATCAAAAAAGCATTCAAATCTCTGAAAAAGCCGTAGAAAAGCTACAAAATTTGGAATCTAAAAAAATGTTTCATCCTGGGGAAGGAAAAACATAAAATTCAGATAATTTATATTGAGAAGTCTTTCGATCATCATCAAGAACACGATTGCTGAAGATGTACACATGTAGATTTTCTGTATTCTAAAATGTACAGACCCTTCTGCTTTAAGTACGTGGAACATGGAACATGTGGTATCGTTTTTTTATTGCGAAACAGTTTTTTTCTCAGAAACTGTGCACCACAGCATAATCCAGCCGGGTGCTGAAGCGTTCGTGAAACTATTAAGTGTGCAAAAAATGATATTCCTAAAACTCGCACGCTTAATGAGGTTGTTTTCAGCTAAAAGAGGAAAATTCCTCGATAATCGAGGACACTCTTCGAAAATGGTAAAGTGAAACAGGAAAAAAAGGTCATCATCCGTTCAAACCCTTCGGAAATCGAGTGAGAGAGGAACCTAGATCGCGTGAAATGTACCGTAATGTCGGAACTCCTAATGACCTGCCATGCATGCAAAATCTCAATTGCGTAGTCCAACTCTACCCTGCAAAATGCGTCAATTTTGCTCCAAAATTCGGCATTAAAAAATTGGTGCTGCTTGGTTTTTTGTCGCGTCCTTGCTCCTCGCAAAATTTCCTGTTGTATTATCTCATTAAAAAACATTTTTTGGCTTTCAAAACTGTCCAATAACTCAAAAACAAGGGCGTATTTCAGCCAAACTTAGAGATACGTTCATAAAATCTCCAAAAGTTACCTTCAATTTTTCGAAATTGCCATCATGAAAGGAAATTGCTGATGTGCATCTGAAGGGAGTGCAATCCTCCCCTCCCTTTTTCTTGACGAAAGAACGTAACCGCATACATCTTAACGTCGCAGATTTTTTTTTTTTTTTAAGCTAACTTTGGCTTTTAATTCTTTTCTCGTGCGGAAAAACATGAATGATAAAAATGAGGAAAACGATGCCTCAGAAGAATTTGTGCAGCGTTTCGATAGTCCACGATTTTAGCTCTGTTATATGTTTCATACATTTCTGAAATTTCTTGAAATATTTCACGATTTCATTTTTTATCATAATTTTGCCATCCTGGTCAAAACACTGATTTTATTCATTAGGGTGTGGCCCCTCGCACCTTTCCCGATGGAACGTCACCAATTCCAAGTGATCCATAACCAATGCCACGCCAAAGACTCTACGACCCTCTCCAGACAGGGACTTAGCGGCGCGTCCAGTAACCTCGTCTCGGCTGACAAAAGGGCGTAACTGCACTTTGAGATGAGTCCGGGAAATCATTGGACTTTATGGACCGCAGGGTTCACCGTGAAGTGCAGCTACGTCTTTATGTCGGAAGGGCGACGCCTTGTCTCGGATCGAGCGAGGATGATGTACGGCATGCGCGGTGACGCCGGTCGCCGAGCGCGTGTCGTGAATGCATCATGCGACTGGAACTCGGGATGATATGACGGAATCCCGGTTCTCGCATGTCCTTCCCAAGGGCTCGCTCCTTGCCCCGGCTCGGATTCTCCCGTGCTGAGGAAGAACGCCGTATAAGCATTTATACGTTGCCAAATTTACTTCATTAAAAACCGAATTTTCTTGGAACATTGCGAACATTTCCCCTCAAAGATTCCAGATAATTTTGTTCGACTTTCGATTTAAAACATCTGAAAATTTCAAGAAGAAACGGATTGCACTTTGCAAAAAGGAACCACTAGCATTGCAATGATACTAAGATTGTGCAACTCCATCTCTTGCAATAAAATTGCGGAAATCGTGAAAAATTATGAAATTTAGATGGTAATTTTTGTCTTAAATTTACAGTTTTCAGCGAGTAAAATAGAAACTATTAATGGATAATCGGGTTTTTCCCCCGAGACAAAAGAAGTTGCACAATCTTAGCAACAGTGGTTTCTTTTTGCAAAATGCAATCCAAATATGAATGCCTTTTCTTAAAAATACACGTTTTATCTGGAGAAATTTGGCAACTCTCGAATGTTCATACGGCGTTCTTCCCTAGCACGGCACACTATGGTCCCAATTCACTTTTCAGTGATCAAAAATCATAGCGGCTCTCCGTTTGAGTATAAATACATTTAAGATATGCTTTCCCCATGATTTTGATGCGCTGAATCCGAATTTGACCTCCGCTTTTCCCTAAAAAATCATTTGCAAAAGTTACCGTCATTTTTTCACATAAATCACAAACTGCCATACGATTGGCTTGTTATACTTGCTTAGATTGGATGAAAACTATGCGTTCATTGCATATACATGTACAGTTCATGCAAAATTAAGGATGTTTTAATTTTTTGACACCCCCCCCAATTTTTTTTTTTTTTTTTTTTTTTTTTTTTTTTTTTTTTTTTTTTTTTTTTTTTTTTT